AATGGAAGTATCAGTAGTGTAGAATGTTCTTGATTCATCTCATCACTACATAGGGTAATCCTAAGGATTTTTTTGTTTGTTTTTTAATTTTTTTTTTGTTTTTGCCATAGGGTGTATATGTTTGCTAGACAGAGACAGACAGACAGAGAGAAATTGAGAAATCAACTTCTAGGGAGGAATGGCCATGCCACAATCCCTTCTCCATTCACCTATTGGATTTTTGGCATGGACTCACACATGCCTGGCATAATTTTCAGGCCACTGGGTCCAAGACTCAAACCATGGTCAGCCATGTGGGAGTTCAGTGCTTTAACCGCTATGCTACCTACTAGCCCCCAGGAGATTAGTTTTAATATACACTTGGATAATTATATATAACAAGGAACACAAAGAAATAAGTTTTATTTATTCATGTAGTAAATACTTCTTGAAAACCTTATGGTGCTAGAAAACAACTGAACCACTAGAAAGGGATTCTGGTCTCAAAAAAGCTTATAGTCAAATGAGGAGGTGATTCCCCTAGGACTCTCAGAGGAGCCTCAGAAGTGAGTGGCACATGTCCGGATTTGTAGGGATTGAAAATTTTTTTTAGATAAAGTAATGCCGAAGTGAAGGAAACTGAAGAGGCAAATTTTATTTTTTTTCCACTTCAAAATATCTTATTTGAAGGTAAAAAGAAATAAACTAATGGTGATATCCCTTATTTGGGCATGCACATGGGTCCTTCCATTCTCTTTTCTAGATTTTTATCACCAATATAGGCTTCTAGGTCTAGCACCATGTGGCTTAGTTCTATGCAGTTTTATTTCTAGGATTATCCAGTGTTCATTTATCATTCTCTGAATATTCAATGTGCTATATGACATGTCTCTGTTCAGTAAGTTTCACAGATTTTTTGCCACTACCTATTGATATGTATGCCTCCCAGTTATCTATTTCTATAACGCAAGCACCCCAAAACTTAGTAGTATAAAACAACAATGATGAATTATTTTCTTGACTCTTTGGGTTGCATGGCAGTTCCTCTGGGCTCACTCATATATTGCTGGAATGTCAGCTGAGGTCTAGAGTGGCCTCATTCATGTGTTTGGGAGTTGTTGTTAGCAGCTGCCTGGGCACCTCAATTTTCCTCATGGCCTCTTCTCTGGTAGACTAGACCTGCTCTCTTATATGGTGGTCTAGTAGCATTCCAACGGGGAGGAGAGAGGCAGATATTACAAGTCCTCTAAATCTAGTTTTAGAAGTTACATCCTGTGGGTCAAAGCAAGTCGCAAAGTCAGCCCATGTTCAAGGGAAGTGGAAATAGACTCAACCTCTTGATGGCAATAGCAGTGAAGGAACACTGGAAAGAAGCATGGGAGGAAGTGTTGTGTCTGTGATTGCACGTAGTTGCCTATAGAATGTCTTTATGATTCTGTCACTTGTGTTGATGTAAATGTGTTGGTTTTCCTTTCACTTTTTTTCTTTTCTTTTCTTTTCTTTTTTTTTCTTTTTTGGAGAGGTTTTTGCTATAGGGTGCATGCACTCACCAGAAAGACAGAGAGAGACAGAGAGACAGAAAGCGAGAATCACCCACCAGGGGGAATGGCCACACCACAATCCCTTCTCCTCCATTCTCCTCTCGGGATCTTGGGCACGCACGCACCCGCGCCTGGTGTGAGTTTAAGCCACCAGGTCCGGGACGTGAACTGCAGTCGGCTACATGGAAGTCCAGCAACATAGCCATTATGCTAACTGCTGATCCCTCCTTTCACTTTCTAAGAAGGATGGGCCATTATCATATTAAATAGAATTCTTAGTGCTCATAGCAACTTAGCTGTTACTAATCCTGGGAAACCAGCCTAGCAGTTATTTCCAAGAATGGATTAAAGTGCAGAAGAGGATTGACTTGGGAAAAGACCTAAATAAGAAGTTTTAAAATTAATTCTGTTGCATGATGAATAAGAAGGCTCTTAATGAGTTCTATTTTATGCTAATGATAAATATTCTTAATATAAAAAAATACATTTATATACTTAGAACTTTTTTCCCCAAAAGACTTTTGACAATAACAGCAATCCAATGAAGGAGGTGGAACAAGTATTATCTTTTTTATTTATTATGAATTGGGGAGACATCAAAGTGGTGAGACTCACATAACTAGCTGGGTTTGGGTCCCCATTCTCCTACTTCCTAAGCCTTCTCTTCTCATGGTTTTCAAATTGTGGAACTGTGATGATTCTTCTGGGAAGAGTGGAGGGAACTAAAAGACATCTGCATTTTCATCAAGTCATGGTTACTGGCACGAATTCATCATGTTTTGATGTAGGCACAGTGATTAGTTATGTAGTGTAATGCTTCACATACACGTTGTCTTTCTGTATTTAAAGCTGTTGCACTTACATTCACATATGATTCTCAAAACAACTGAATGACGATATCTTTTTACTCTTGAGAAAAATGAGGCTGAAAAAGAGAAAAATGGCTTGCCCTATATCTCAGCGCTACTAAGTCACCCACTAGGGATAAGCTTAAATCTTCTCGTTCCTGCTCTAGTATTCTTTCTTTAGCATGGTGTGGCTCTAAGTCTAAAAACATTGAAAATAAACATTGTCTGGCATTCAGGTACATAGATTCAGTAACCCCAAGTTTATGGCTTATAAACAAGTATAAAGTATTGTTTGTATGACCTTGAGCAAGTTCCCTCCCCACTACACTGAATATGTCATTGAATGTTTTTCATTTGGATGAAAACTACATTTTTTATCATATGAATGAGGAGGGAGTTGGACTACAATGACCTCCAAGGTTTCTTCCAGCTCTAGAATGAAACAACTCTATTTGTGTTAAATATCATTGTTTGAGAGGAAATTAAGATTTTTTTATTTATTTTTTAAATAATTATTTAGTTTAATTTTATTTACTTATTTTAATTTGAACAGAGAGGGATAGAGTGAGAGAGAGGGAAAGTGAGAGAGCAAGCCACTAGGTCTAGGACTCAAACCACAGTTGGCCATGTGGGAGTCCAACACCCTTAACCACCATGCCACCTGCCAGCCCCAGGAAATGAAGAATTTTTTTTTTGGAGAGGTTTTTGCTATAGGGCACGTGCGCTCGCCAGACAGACAGAGAGAGACAGAGAGATAGAAAACGAGAAATCACCCCCAAGGGGGATGGCCACGCTGCAATCCCTTCTCCTCCATTCTCCTCTCAGGATCTTGGGCACACATGCACAAGCGCCTGGCATGAGTTTAAGCCACCAGGTCCAGGACTTGAACCGCAGTTGACTACGTGGGAGTCCAGTGACATAGCCATTACGCTAACTGCTGGTCCTAGGAAATGAAGATTTTTAAAAGAGAGAGCCAAAATTTCAGATGGACGACTTAGCAGGAATAGTTTTACAGAGGAAGAAGACACAATGACTATGGTATTTTATGACGTTTCACTTTTCATCTGCACTTTATGGTAGAGATAGAAATATTGGAGGGCATAAAAGCAGTGAAAATAGTTAGGAATGCTGAAGACAGTGTCTAAGAAAATTTTATGCACAAACACGGACTGTACCCTTTTGGAGCTTACAGTTGAATAGGGAAGGTAGACTTGAACCTGATAATCACACAAACTACAGAGATGATGTAGTAGACACTGGAGCATAACTAAGATTCAAAGGATGAGAAGTTAAGTAGACATGACAAAAGGCTGGATAGTGGGGAGACATGGGGGATGACGTAGTCAAAGGTCTTATGGTAGATGGGGCCTGATAGGTTTGAGTAACTGAAATGCCAGCGTCTCTGGAACATAGAGAGGTAAGAACAGTTTTAATGGGGCAAGTGGCAGAATCATGCATGCATTATAGGCCACATGAAGGATTTTGAACTTTATCTTAAAAGCAAGGAGAAGCATTGAAGTATATTTTCAACAGCAAAAGAATATGATCACATTTGGATTTTTAAAAAATTGTTAAAGAATTATTTAACTTTATTTGTTTGTTTGTTTGTTTGTTTGTTTTAATTTGACCAGAAAGGGACAGAGAGAGAGAGAGCAAGAGTGAGGGCGGGAGCGAGAGAGAGAAAAAGAGAGAGAGAGAAAGTGAGAAAGCAAGCTGCAGGACTGGGACTCGAACAACTTTTGGTCATGTGGGAGTCCAGTGCCCTTAACCACCATGTCACCAGCCCCCATGTTTGAATTTTAAAAAGATAGTTTAGGGGCCAGTCTGTGGCGTAATGGTTAGGGGAAGCTGGATCTGACATGACTAACTGCATGGTTCAAGTTCCAAACTTGGCAGCTGTAAAAACACATGGGTATGTATGTGTATGTGCCCAAAATCCTGAGAGGATAATGATGCAAAAGGAACCTAAATGTGGATATCCCCTCTAGGGATTGCTTTCTTACTTTCCTTCTCTGTCTCTCTGTCTTTCTCCAGCAAGCTCACATGCTCAATAGCAAAATATAAAAAATAAATAATAGTCATTGAATTGACTCAGTGACAAAGGCACAGGTGGTAGCCTAGTGGTACTGCTCAATGCTGGAGCCATATGGGAGACCCTGGGTTTGGTTCCCAGGCTGACCTGAACACTTGAGGAGATAAAAACACTCATTTATAGCAGTAGTCTTCTTATTAACACAGTGATTTGGGAAATAAATGGTTTTAGGAAAGAAATACTAACCTTTTCACAAAGGTATGGGGAGGGGGCGGAGCTTGGCCAGTAAATTGTAACTCCTTTTTATGATGGCCAACTTAAAAGCAGTCTGCTAATAGTAGACTTTTGGATTGCATTTTTAGTTGTTGTTTTTGTTTTTGTTTTTTTCCTAATTACCAGGAGAAAATGGATTTTATTCACTTCTGAAGTAGATACTGCTCTTAGAAATTCCATTTGCGACAGCACATGACAGTCACATCTGTCTGTCTGACAACTTGACTGTGATAATTCACAGAAGTCTTATGATGTAGGATTTCAAATGAGCTATTTTCCTTTTGTGTAGATTTGTTTTATCTTTCTTTTCTCCTTTCTTCCATTCAGGCTGATGAGTCCTGAAAACACACTCCTGCAGCCCAGGGAAGAGGAGGGAGTCAAATACGAGCGAACATTCATGGCATCTGAGTTCCTAGACTGGCTGGTTCAGGAAGGCGAGGCCACCACAAGGAAAGAAGCAGAGCAGCTTTGCCATCGGCTTATGGAGCATGGCATCATACAACACGGTGAGTCATCAGTCAGCTCTTGCTGCAATAACAAACAGCTCCAACAACCAGCACCTATTTCTCATAACGTTTGAATGACTGAAGTAAAGGGGAGACATAAACAAAATCGAATAATATTTGTCCATAGATAAGAATGAGATCCCATCATTCACAGCAGCATGGGTGAACATAGAGAATATTATGTTGAGTGAAATAAGCCAGGCACAGTATTTATTCCACATGTTTGCACTCATATGTGGAATCTAAAAAAGTTAGTCTCATGGAAGTAGAGTAGAATAGTGGCTATTAGAAGCTTAAGAAGGGTAAGGGAGAGGAGAGGACTGGGAGGGACTGGTTGATGAATACAAACTGAAATAGTATGACACATTTCTGCATTAAAAAACAGAAAAAACATGTCATGACTTTCCCAACGACATAATAGATGGGAGGATTAAGTCATAGTGTGAAATTACACTGTAGGGTGACCACACATAACAATTAATTGTACATTTCAGACAAGCTAGGAGAGAGGACTTCGGATGTTTCCACACAAAAAATGTTCAATGTATGAGGTTATGGGTATTTCAGTTACCCAGATTTGATCCATTTACAGTGTACACCGGATGCAAACTAGTTTGTTTTGCATCCAAGCTGGGGGTCAAGTTCAGGTCTATATTCGATACCTTCTTAGTTAGGGACCCAGGATAAAGGAACATCCATTTTTCTGGGACATGCTATTTTCACAGATGACTGCAAAGCTGAAGAGGGTAGGCAGGTTGTTGTTAGTACCTCCAAAAGTTCTGCTTGGATGTGATGTAACATTACAAGTTCTTAATCCAATTGACCAACGCAAATCATGAAGTGAAGTTCAAAATCCATGGACTTGGGAAGCAGATGCCTTTTATAAGGTTGGTTGTGAGGAAAGAATAAAAATTTCTCAAATCTTGATGCAAGCTCCACAGTGAAGAGTTAATCCGAGAGGCCTTCATAAATGTTTCACTTTCCTTTTAGGGCTGAATCATAATGATGCAATATAACCTCTTGGTAAAGAACTAAATTAGTTGTCTCTTGCTTCATGACAAATCATCCTAAAACTTGATACATAACAAATTACCCTAAAACTGAATGGTGTAAAACAGTAATAAATGTTAACTATCTTACACAGTTCCTGTGGATGAGGAATTTGGGAAAGTCTTAGCTGGGTCTCTTTGGAGGCTCTCATGAAGTTGCAGTCGAGGGGTTGGCTGAGCCTACAGCCATTGTAAGACTTGGCAGGCTGGACGGTTCACATCTACAATGGTTCCCTTTTTACCTAACAAGTTTGTGCTGGCTGTTGGTAGGAGGCTTCATTCTATTGGTATATGGACTTCATAAGGCTTTTGAGAAGTCTTATAACGTGGCAACCTGGCTTCATTCAGAAGGAATGATACAAGGGAGTGAGAGAAAGAGGCCATACTGTTGATTCTAACAGAGACTTGGAAGTCACATATTGTCATTTTCTCAACAATCTATTGGTTTCCGGTTTAGTCCTATAAATGTGAGAGAGGACAGCGCAAGAGTGTGAATACCAGGAGACAGGGACACTCGGGGCCATCTTTGAGACTGGCCATCATTAAGACATAACCTCTGGAATTCCAGGCCCACCAATTGTTAGCTCCTTAGCTTCTCTCACCTGTAAAATGGGGATAACCTCAAAGGGTAGTTGTAGGAGTAATTGGGGTAAATGTAAAACTCAGTTCAGTGCCCTACTCTTAGCTAAGTGCTCAATCAATTCATTAATGTAGCTGCAAGGTGTAGGCTTGGGATAGTGAGGAGAGCTCTGGGAAAGAGGCAGGCATTTCTGCCTACAAGTGAAAATAAGAAATGTGATCCCTAGGCATGCTTGCTGTGAGGCCTTTCCCTTATTCTCATCCTCACCCAGGTCTAGGATTTCTACTCCAAGGTTAGGAAGATAACAATGGAATGATAGAGATAAGTGAAACCTTAGAAATTATTTGGAGCATTGTTTTACAAACTGCAGATTACAACACTTTCGTGGGTTCTGAAATAAAATTAGAGAACCATTCCCAGCATTTAAAACTAAAACTGTAGGGGCCAATAGATGGTGTAGTGGTTACATTGTTGGACTCCCACATGGCAGGCTGCAGTTTGAGTCCCATACCTGGTGGCTTGAAACTATGCTTGGTGTGTGTGTGCATGTATGCCCAAGACCCTGGGAGAAGAATGGAGGAGAAGGAATGCATCGAGGTCATCTCCCTGGGGGTGATTTGTCACTTTTCCTCTCACTGTTTCTGTCTTTTTCTCTAACAAGCACATGCACCCTAAGGCAAAAACCTCTACAAATAAAACCTAAAACTTAAAATTAACTAGACTAGTCTTAGACTCTGACTACTCAAAATGTGGTCCATGGGTCCACAGTGTCATCTGGGAGTATGCTAGAAATGCAGAATCTGGGCCCAGACAGTGGTGCTAAAATGCAACAGTCTGCGAGGCTGGCCCATATGGGGAGGGATTAGGTATATGCCTGGAGATCAACCTGAGTATGCTGGGCTTCATGTGCCCATGATGCAGGCTGGCTGATGCTGGGGTAGATTGCAGCATGAAGACCCTCTTAGGAATGCTGTCTCTCTCTCTCATTTAATAGTGGAACAAATGAATGACTGAATTGTTTAAAAGAGAAAGAAAAAGAAATGCAGACTCTTTGAACTTACCCAAGTCCTGCT